TTAACTAAGTGTAATGTAGGCGTAATCTAAAGTTACCAAGTTATATACATTTGTTACATAATGTAATAAATGTGCAATGTTTTGTTAGAAAATATTTTACACAACTTTATATATAGTAATCGCAAGAAATCGAAAATGAAAATTTTTATATATCTTTACGTTTCAAAGGTTTCTGAATATTTTGGCATACCTTAGAAAACAATTTTTCATCGACGATTTCGGAAACGCCGATCAACCGATTTGAATAATTCAAAAAACATTCGATCCGTATTGATGGGGAGACGTGCTGATTTATTTTTCGCGAAAGCAGGTCTAACCGTTCCGAAGATACGGGGCAAAAAGTGTTAAAAACGGTAACTAAGTTTTTAAGAGAACGGAGCGTCCGATTTTAATAATTCAAAAAACATTTTACTTGTATTGACAAAATGAACAACTGGTAAAATTTTTGGGAAGGCAGGTCTAGGGGTTTTGGACTCTCAATAAAGACAAGTTAAAAAAATGTCATTTGGCGGTCAAAAATGTTTATTGGACATATGTATATTATCAGATATTTTATAGATATTTTAATAATGTGTACCCATTTTGTATAATTTTTTTTGGGTTCCGTACCAAGACTTTTAATTTTAAGTTTTTTTATATGGTCCAAGCAAATGTCCTCGACATTTTTGACAGTATGGAATAACCGATTTGTATGATTAAAAAATCATTTGGTTCGTACTCGATCGCGAGGCGTTTTTGCAAAAGGCAATTTTGCCGTTTCGGAGGTATGGAGCGTAAAGGGTGTAAAAACGGTTATGCAGTTTTTGAGAGAACGGATTATCTGATTAGATTAATTCAAAAAACATTTTGTTTAAGTAGATGATTAAGTAGAAAAAGCATTCGATTGTTTCGATTCGACAGTATGAAATAGTCGATTTGTATGATTAAAAAATCATTTGGTTCGTACTCGATCGCGAGGCGAACGGATTATTATATTTGAATTTTAAAAATTATAAAAAAAATCAAAATTTTCAAAAAAATTCAAATTTCCGAAATTTTTCATCATTTTCAAAAAAAAACTAAATTTTAAAAAATTAAAAAAAAAATTCTTACAAAAGTTTAAGATATTTCGAAAATTAAAAAAAAAATCGAATATGACCAAAAATTTCCAAATTCTCAATATATTTAAAAAAAAAACGTTTTTTTTTTTAATTCCAAAAAATTTTAAACTTCGAGAAAAATTTTAAAAAAATTCTCGAACGCCGTCCAACGGACAAACGATGTTACAGAACCCATAGAAACGTAAACAAAATTGATATATATTATTAAAATCTCCATAAAATATCTGATAATTGGATGTGCATAAGTCTAATGATCATTTACGACTGCCTAATGTCATTTTTTTACTAGATCTCTATAACCGCTGGACCTGCTTTTCCAAAAAATTTCCAATAGCAAATCAGTTTACTTATATATCAGTCGCCAATTATAATATATGATGTCTCACTAAAGTTGATTATTTATACATGCCGGGAAGATAATGCAACTTCTATTAAGGCAAAACAGTTTTAACAATTTGAAATCTACGGGTGGTTTGAGAATTTTTGAAAAAGTTTGAAAGATTTAATACTTTTTTAAACCTGTAAAACATTTATTTTAAAACATTAACAAATTTTTGTTAATCAAAATATCAAAAAGTCTACAAAAATTGTATATATTTACTTTCATTAACATTTGTTTATTTACAATTATATTTACATAAAGCTAATTTAATAAATATCAAAAAGTATACAAAAATTGTATATATTTACTTTCATTAACATTTGTTTATTTACAATTATATTTACATAAAGCTATAAGATATAACAAATATTTTTTAAGTCAACATAAAAAATGTCATGCGGGAGAACGTCATTACAAATGTGAAATATGTAATAAAGCATTTATAACAAATCGTGAATTAATTCGGCATAAAAGGATTCATACAGGAGAACGTCCTTACAAATGCGGAATATGTAAAAAAACAATAGCAAACAATAGCAAAACAAATATTAAACCGACATCTAATGATTCATACTGGAGAACGACCACATAAATGCAAGATATGCAAAAAAGCATTCAGTTTAAAACAAAATTTAAAACGCCATGAAAAAATCCACACGAGAGAAAGCAATCATTGATGAGCCACATGCAATAAAACTTTCGCAGCTTAGCAATCATTAAACCAACATAAAACTGTTCATACTGTAGAACAAATTATAATAGAGGATTAAATTTTCATAATTTTAAACACAGTAAAACATTATAATTATAATTAGCAGACGTTCTCATCAGTGTAGAACAGTTTGCTAAATACTGCTTATAAATATCTTTGAAAATATTTGTGGTGACTTATAAAATATATTAATAATTTATTGCTCACCAAATATTGTTATAAAAGAATACAGAAAAAAATAGAAGTTACTACAAGAATATACAGGGTCATTATAGTTACAAAAATACAAATTAGTTGTGCAGAAAAGGAATAGCCACATAATTAGATTTAGTTGTATAAGGCAGTGTTACACATTTTTGTTTTATTTTCTTCACAGATATTGTCACTTCTCTCATAATTTTTGGGTGAAAAACATGAATATTGAATAGTTTCGAGTCAAATGGTTTTGAAAATAATGATTTTGTCATTGTCGCTTCCAAACACAATATTTTATCAACATCACAAATTTTATTTATTAAAACTATTTTATTCTCAGTTGTCAAACAACAGTTATTTGAAGCTATATTACTTAAAGAAATATTTCTAAATTCAATTTTCTCTATTTTTGATGTTTTTGTCCGGTGTATTACTGAGAAACTTTTAATTTGAATAAATTCACTTCTGCTTGTAATAGTTTTTTCCTCCCACATTCGGTTTACTAATTGTTGAAAGGGATTCGCGGAATCTTGAATCTTATTTTTCACACTTCTCAAATAATTTTCAAATGGAAAACAACTAAATTTGCCTAATGAACAACCAAAATTCTTGACTTCATCAGCTAAATGGATTATATTATGAATATTGAATGTTAATCTATCTGAACCATATAAATCAGAATAACTAACAAAAAAAGTTTTAACAAGTTCCCTGCCAAAGTATTCCAGTTGAGACATGCCCCTAGATCACATAGTATTCTAATGCCTAAACTGAAATGTAAAAAATTTAAAAACAATTGGTTACTTAACACAGGTTTCAAAATTACTAACCCCGAATACAACAAAAATTGTCTGTATTCAGTGGCCTTCCAATGTTTGTGATCCTCTAGTCTTCTAGGCAATCTGGAAAATTCCGAAGGAAACAACTTTCTATGCTCTATTATATAATTGTTCATATTCCTTTTCTGCTCGTCCGTAAAGCGAATATCTCTAGATCCGCACATCCAGAGAGAAATCAGGCGCTTTGTCACCCCCAAACACACCATGTGCATATAATCCAATGCAACTTGGGAAACCATACAAATCCCCAAATCCTCTAAAATAGATAGACCAGTATGATGCTCTTGTTGTTATTTTGATCTAAATGATTGATCTGTTCTCAGTATGGCATCAGTTTCTGTTAAAATTACGTGTTTTTCAAAATCGCCTTCTTGAATGCATTTTGGACAACTAAAATAGCCAGCATGTCCTTTCACGTAGGTTATGAATGCTCGAGCTGGGCTATCACACACTATTTTCGATAATAAAACGTCACATTTCTTCTCCTTAAAAATAATGCCATGTTTCAAAATCGTCTTCATATCACTTACGAATTGACTTAAGTAAATATTGGCATCGGCTGGCTTGCCATTACCATGATGAATGCCTACAATGAAAGGTTCCACTCAATAATATAGGCCAAAAACTGCTATTTCAACTTTTAGATATTGCCATTCCATCACAATTTAGTTGTAAGAGAATTTTCTCAGGGCATTCGAAAAAATGTTTTTCCATGGAGTTGAGAATTGCTTCAACACCAAATTGCATATAAAATCCGCCATTCATTTTTTGAATAGCTTTTGTTGCAGTTTTTGAAGTGCCCAACAACGTTCGAGCATCCACAGGTAGGTCGTTGTAACCCTGCTTAACCAAAACTTTTAAAAATGCACTTACAGTATACAAAGTCAAATTGTCTCTCTTCGCCAAATTCTGTATATCTTCCCTTAGGGTAGTATTATCATTACCTTGACAAAATACATTTTCTGAAGTGGCATGATCTTCAAAATTTTGTTTCTCGAAATTGGTGTCTAATAGATTTGAAAAGGTACTATAACAAACATTTTCATTATAATTATTACTATTTACTTCTTGTTCAGATGATACACTTTCATTCCGATTGATTTTTATACTATTCAAATAATGTTTTTCTGTTTGAGCGACAATCTGGCGTATTCTTCGCGGTGTCAAATTTTTCATTTGCTTACGTCTTTTTATATTTAACTCCATTATTATCTTCTCCCTTCATAAAATATTTCACATGATATTAATTTATTATTGTGAATTAACCTTCAAAAGTAAATTTTTTATTTGTTTGATTAGTTCAAGGCGCCGTCCTCAATTATAATTTATTTAATGTTGGTAGCATAGATAAATAAACATGTTTGGTATCATGATAATATTTTGTATATCTATGGTTGGTGAGTCTGTGCCCTCATAGACAAGTTCATGTCAAAACAAACCGTGCTTTAAATAAAGCCTCATTCTATTCTTCGTGTAGCGTCGAAAGGGTTCTTATTGAGGTTAGCGTTAGTGAGTTTTGTTGTTATTTATAGGTTTGTGATAGTGAATTGTTGAATTTTAACATTAACGCTATGGATCTCTTGGGGTAAGTTAATCATATATTTCGTGATTCAACGATATTGTAATATTAAACTAATATGGTTATATTGCTCTATTTTTAAAACAAAACAATTTGCTGTTCTTTGTGACGAATCTGGTCACACTGGAATACCAAGTAATTCGTTAATTTTAGGTGACGATGATTCGTGGTCAAAGTGCTGGTGGCCAACAACATGCAGAAATCCGACACGATTGATTATAAGGCGCGTGGAGCCGGATTGGTACGGTACTCCACTTGTATTAAAACACCCATAACGTTTATTGGGTTCTGCGGTGAGAATATTATTTATTTAGAGTTTAAGTAATCTAATTTCATGTACATTATTTGTTTTATAATTTTAGACACCTATGAGTCAGCTCGCAAACGTGCAGCTGACTCAGAATACTCATCTACAGAGGAGCAGCTTGGGAGGGGTCTCAGAAAGAAGACTAGTGACTCGGTGTTTGCCCTCGAAGCAATAATCGAGGCTTTGACAAGTAATGATTGTATTACATTATACTTATTTACTTTGTACATCTTGCAAATTAAATCGCTTTTATTGCAGAACCGAAGGAAAGAGCAGAAAAGAGACTGAGAGACGAATCTGAAGAGATAGAGCCAATAACAAGTAATAATGATTTTAGCCTTTATTAACTATAAATAATTTTTAAATTTGATGGTAATTGTTTTTTAATATAGCTCCTCTAAGCAATAGGAAGCGGGAGGCGTTCCTAAATGCAGAAATATCGACGAAGATGTGGTTTCTGTCAAAGTATTAATTTAATACTTAAGCTTGTACTCTTGTTAGTATATTAAGTATGTTGATCGTAATAACAATTTTATTACAGAAAGGTGCTCTGTTCCGGAATTATCTGTGAAAGGTGGAGTAGACACCAGAATAACTGGAGAGACTGGGCCAATCACAAGTAATGATAATGATTTGAAATTTTATTAAGTATAAATATTTTTCAAATTTAATAGTAATTATTTTTATCATAGCTCCTCAAAGCAATAGGGAGAAGAAAATGTTTGTGGGAGCAGCACAAATTCAGGAGCTTGTTGGTGCTCCCAAAGGTAATAAGTTTGTTCTCATGTTAGTAAATTAAATATGTTGATTGTAATAATAACAATTTTATTACAGAAATAATCTCTTTTATGATAAATGCCTTTTCCACTCTTCAAGGTAAGTTATCATAACATTCAATATAATATACATATTCTAATTTTTATTTTTTTAGCTTCTGTTGATCATATCTTAAAAAGAGTGATCATGATAGAGGAGAAAATCAGCGACCTAGGCAAGGCTTCGACTCAGGCATCTTCCCTCAAAAAGAAAACAAATATATTTGATAAAATTTTTCTTTTGAGGACTGTGGAAGAAGTCAAAGCCTTGGAAGAAAACCTAGGTGGAGAAAAATCAGAAGAGTTTGAAATTGATCTGGTACAAAATATATGAAATTATTTAACAAAATGCAATTATATTTAATCAAAGCATGGTTTTAATTTGCAGACCGAGTTTGTTATCAGGATTGTTGGACTTCATCCCAAAGCTCATATAGGGAACACATTAAGCAGAATGTTTGCGGATAATCTAGCCATGAAATATTCATGGCTAGGTCGCAAGCAAAACTTGCCTATGTATAACATCAAAATGATCGACATAATCAAAGGTAATAAATGCAGTTAACAGCTTATATATATATTTATATTTATATAGAAATGTAGTGTATTTATGATTTAATTGTTTAAAGGTGTATTTGTGGATTGTTGGACTTCATCCCAAAGCTCATATAGGGAACACATTAAGCAGAATGTTTGCGGATAATCTAGCCATGAAATATTCATGGCTAGGTCGCAAGCAAAACTTGCCTATGTATAACATCAAAATGATCGACATAATCAAAGGTAATAAATGCAGTTAACAGCTTATATATATATTTATATTTATATAGAAATGTAGTGTATTTATGATTTAATTGTTTAAAGGTGTATTTGTGGCAAAATACAGCTTGCCAGAAAGTGAATTTGACAAAATAACCAGTGAGTGGCTGCGGTTCGCCAGGCAGAGGCACGAGAGAGCTGTGAAAAAACTAAACCCAATGAATTTAAATCAAGAATAATTTGTAACTTTTTTATTTTCTTTTTTTATTTTTTGTGAAATAAATTTTGTTGTTTAAATTATTTGTTGCTATATTTATTATAAAATAAGTCACTGTTGTGTTTAGTACAAAATATTTGTTACTGTCGTGTTTAGTACAAAATATTTGTTGCTATTTGTTATAAATTATTTGTTACTGTTTTGTTTAGTACAAAATATTTGTTGCTATTTGTTTGTTATAAAATACTTATAATATTTTATAATAAACAAATAGCAACAAATATTTTGAACAAAACAAAACAGTAACAAGTATTTTATAACAAACAATAGCAACAAATATTTTAGTTGCTACTTTGTTCATTGTAAAATATTAATTTTAAATAATAAATACAATAAAATATGAGTAAATCTTTTTTTTAGAGAAAAATCAATTGTTTACGCATAAATTAAAAGCATTGCAAAAAGTGTTGATTCATATCGCATAGGAACATTACCGTATGTTACCGCAACTAAACAATGTTATATAACAAGTTAACTAACAGGGTAGGAATAGTTACCTTCAGGTAATAAAATTTCTTACGGACGATGATGTTGACTTTATATAACTAGGTGACATTTTTATATAACCGCAACCTAACGGCAATATAAAATTGTTTACAGGGTACCCAGTCAACACTACTTGTTGCCGCAATTAACTTTTTATGTTACAAAGTTATATAACAAATGTTAACTAAATGTAATGTACGCGCAATGTATTCTGAAATTACAAAGTTATATAACAAATGTTAACTAAGTGTAATGTAGGCGTAATGTAATCTAAAGTTACAAAGTTATATACATTTGTTACATAATGTAATAAATGTGCAATGTTTTGTTAGAAAATATTTTCCACAACTTTATATATAGTAATCGCAAAAAATCGAAAATGAAAATTTTTATATATCTTTACGTTTCAAAGGTTTCTGAATATTTTGGCATACCTTAGAAAAAATGGATGTATGTGTGTGTGTGTGTGGATACAATTTTTCATCGACGATTTCGGAAACGCCGATCAACCGATTTGAATAATTCAAAAAACATTCGATCCGTATTGATGGGGAGACGTGCTGATTAGTTTTTCGCGAGAGCAGGTCTAACCGTTCCGAAGATACGGGGCAAAAAGTGTTAAAAACGGTAACTAAGTTTTTAAGAGAACGGAGCGTCCGATTTTAATAATTCAAAAAACATTTTACTTGTATTGACAAAATGAACAACTGGTAAATTTTTTGGGAAGGCAGATCTAGGGGTTTTGGACTCTCAATAAAAACAAGTTAAAAAAATGTCATTTGGCGGTCAAAAATGTTTATTAGACATATGTATATTATCAGATATTTTATAGATATTTTAATAATGTTTTAATAATGTCATTTTGTATAATTTTTTTTGGGTTCCGTACCAAGACTTTTAATTTTAAGTTTTTTTATATGGTCCAAGCAAATGTCCTCGACATTTTTGACAGTATGGAATAACCGATTTGTATGATTAAAAAATCATTTGGTTCGTACTCGATCGCGAGGCGTTTTTGCAAAAGGCAATTTTGCCGTTTCGGAGGTATGGAGCGTAAAGGGTGTAAAAACGGTTATGCAGTTTTTGAGAGAACGGATTATCTGATTAGATTAATTCAAAAAGCATTTTGTTTAAGTAGATGATGTGCAAAAAAAGCATTCGATTGTTTCGATTCGACAGTATGAAATAGTCGATTTGTATGATTAAAATATCATTTGGTTCGTAATCGATCGCGAGGCGAACGGATTATTATATTTGAATTTTAAAAATTAAAAAAAAAATCAAAATTTTCAAAAAAATTCAAATTTCCGAAATTTTTCATCATTTTCAAAAAAAAAAACTAAATTTTGAAAAATTAAAAAAAAAATCTTACAAAAGTTCAAGATATTTCGAAAATTTAAAAAAAAAATCGAATATAACCAAAAATTTCCAAATTCTCAATATATTTAAAAAAAAAACGTTTTTTTTTAATTCCAAAAAAATTTGAGAAAAATTTAAAAAAATTTCTCGAACGCCGTCCAACGGACAAACGATGTTACAGAACCCATAGAAACGTAAGCAAAATTGATATATAATATTAAAATCTCCATAAAATATCTGATAATTGGATGTGCATAAGTCTAATGATCATTTACGACTGCCTAATGTCATTTTTTTTACTAGATCTCTATAACCGCTGGACCTGCTTTTCCAAAAAATTTCCAACAGCAAATCAGTTTACTTATATATCAGTCGCCAATTATAATATATGATGTCTTACTAAAGTTGATTATTTATACATGCCGGGAAGATAATGCAACTTCTATTAAGGCAAAACTGTTTTAACAATTTGAAATCTACGGGTGGTTTGAGAATTTTTGAAAAAGTTTGCAAGATTTAATACTTTTTTAAACCTGTAAAACATTTATTTTAAAACATTAACAAATTTTTGTTAATCAAAATATCAAAAAATCTACAAAAACTGTATATATTTACTTTCATTAACATTTGTTTATTTACAATTATATTTACATAAAGCTATAAGATATAACAAATATTTTTTAAGTCAACATAAAAAATGTCATGCAGGAGAACGTCATTACAAATGTGAAATATGTAATAAAGCATTTATAACAAATCGTGAATTAATTCGGCATAAAAGGATTCATACAGGAGAACGTCCTTACAAATGCGGAATATGTAAAAAAACTTTCATAGCAAAACAAATATTAAACCGACATCTAATGATTCATACTTTCATACTGGAGAACAACCACATAAATGCAAGATATGCAATAAAGCATTCAGTTTAAAACAAAATTTAAAACGCCATGAATTAATCCACACGAGAGAAAGCAATCATTGATGAGCCACATGCAATAAAACATTCGCAGCTTCGCAATCATTAAACCAACATAAAACTGTTCATACTGTAGAACAATTTATAATAGAGGATTAAATTTTCATAATTTTAAACACAGTAAAACATTATAATTATAATTAGCACTATTAGCAGACGTTCTCATCAGTGTAGAACAGTTTGCTAAATACTGCTTATAACTATCTTTGAAAATATTTGTGGTGACTTATAAAATATATTAATAATTTATTGCTCACCAAATATTGTTTACTGCCAGAAGTTATTACAAGAATATACAGGTTCATTATAGTTACAAAAATACAAATTAGTTGTGCAGAAAAGGAATAGCCACATAATTAGATTTAGTTGTATAAGGCAGTGTTACACATTTTTGTTTTATTTTCTTCACAGATATTGTCACTTCTCTCATAATTTTTGGGTGAAAAACAGGAATATTGAATAGTTTCGAGTCAAATGGTTTTGAAAATAATGATTTTGTCATTGTCGCTTCCAAACACAATATTTTATCAACATCACAAATTTTATTTATTAAAACTATTTTATTCTCAGTTGTCAAACACAGTTATTTGAAGCTATATTACTTAAAGAAATATTTCTAAATTCAATTTTCTCTATTTTTGATGTTTTTGTCCGGTGTATTACTGAGAAACTTTTAATTTGAATAAATTCACTTCTGCTTGTAATAGTTTTTTCCTCCCACATTCGGTTTACTAATTGTTGAAAGGGATTCGCGGAATCTTGAATCTTATTTTTCACACTTCTCAAATAATTTTCAAATGGAAAACAACTAAATTTGCCTAATGAACAACCAAAATTCTTGACTTCATCAGCTAAATGGATTATATTATGAATATTGAATGTTAATCTATCTGAACCATATAAATCAGAATAACTAACAAAAAAAGTTTTAACAAGTTCCCTGCCAAAGTATTCCAGTTGAGACATGCCCCTAGATCACATAGTATTCTAATGCCTAAACTGAAATGTAAAAAATTTAAAAACAATTGGTTACTTAACACAGGTTTCAAAATTACTAACCCCGAATACAACAAAAATTGTCTGTATTCAGTGGCCTTCCAATGTTTGTGATCCTCTAGTCTTCTAGGCAATCTGGAAAATTCCGAAGGAAACAACTTTCTATGCTCTATTATATAATTGTTCATATTCCTTTTCTGCTCGTCCGTAAAGCGAATATCTCTAGATCCGCACATCCAGAGAGAAATCAGGCGCTTTGTCACCCCCAAACACACCATGTGCATATAATCCAATGCAACTTGGGAAACCATACAAATCCCCAAATCCTCTAAAATAGATAGACCAGTATGATGCTCTTGTTGTTATTTTGATCTAAATGATTGATCTGTTCTCAGTATGGCATCAGTTTCTGTTAAAATTACGTGTTTTTCAAAATCGCCTTCTTGAATGCATTTTGGACAACTAAAATAGCCAGCATGTCCTTTCACGTAGGTTATGAATGCTCGAGCTGGGCTATCACACACTATTTTCGATAATAGAACATCACATTTCTTCTCCTTAAAAATAATGCCATGTTTCAAAATCGTCTTCATATCACTTACGAATTGACTTAAGTAAATATTGGCATCGGCTGGCTTGCCATTACCATGATGAATGCCTACAATGAAAGGTTCCACTCAATAATATAGGCCAAAAACTGCTATTTGAACTTTTAGATATTGCCATTCCATCACAATTTAGTTGTAAGAGAATTTTCTCAGGGCATTCGAAAAAATGTTTTTCCATGGAGTTGAGAATTGCTTCAACACCAAATTGCATATAAAATCCGCCATTCATTTTTTGAATAGCTTTTGTTGCAGTTTTTGGAGTGCCCAACAACGTTCGAGCATCCACAGGTAGGTCGTTGTGACCCTGCTTAACCAAAATTTTTAAAAATGCACTTACAGTATACAAAGTCAAATTGTCTCTCTTCGCCAAATTCTGTATATCTTCCCTTAGGGTAGTATTATCATTACCTTGACAAAATACATTTTCTGAAGTGGCATGATCTTCAAAATTTTGTTTCTCGAAATTGGTGTCTAATAGATTTGAAAAGGTACTATAAAGAACATTTTCATTATAATTATTACTATTTACTTCTT